CCCAGCAACTCCTATTGTACAGATGTCGATTCCTAAAACAGGAATCTTCTAAGAGGCCGCGATTCGGATTCCTAAAACGATTCGGGTTCCCAGGAATTTTCAACAACTATGTGATGATCCAAGTCATCAATAGAAATACTACTTCTTGATAGTTCTTCAAAATTAGCCATTTCTTAATAAGTCTAGAGTACTGTGTCTCGCGTAGCTTATCTTACTACGTCTTATTGTGCTAAGAAGTTCTCAATGTAAAGGAGCCAAAAAAAAAAACCCCCAAGAAACGCCAATCTTCGACTAAAAGGGTATAAAAGTTCCAATGTCATTGATAACCTTTTAGCTTATAGGTTGGCCTCAGTAAGCTTACGAGTTGGTCTCTTCTAGATCTTACAAAGTTATAGATAAGTTTGAAAACCATTCAAAGCAAGAAATAAAGCAATGACTTGGCTTTGATCCCATTTTGTACAAGACCATAAAAACACAAATAAATCCTAAATTACATAAGAAATAAATAACAGAGCGGAAATAACATACATACTTCAATAGATCAAACTGGAACTTATGAAAAGATACATACCAGAATTTTACAAACAGCCTTCAAAGCCTTACAAACAACGCAAATCTAAGTTGATACTTTGTACATGATAATTACAATATTTACTCAGAGAAAAATATAGAAAGGATGAGAGAAAAACCAGGGAGCTAAGAGAGCAAGAGAGAAAAAAAGTAAGAGAGCAAGAGAGGGGGCAAACTTTGAATGGCGATTCCTTTTATAGCCAGAGAAGGAGGATTTTCTAGGATAAAAATGAATTGAAACAGCTGGAGCGACTGACTTTTGAGAAGAAACAAATCTTCTTTTGAAGGATAGCTGGCTTGGTAATAACAGTGATGTAGGTTACTTTACAGTGATAGCTACAACGACTTGCTACAATATTATATAGTGATAACTGTAGTGACCTTCTACATTAAGGTACAATGATAGTTACAGTTACCTACTACAGTAATGTACACTGATAATTTTGCTTTATTATACAATAGTGGAGTTTGTTTTTTATTTTTAAATGACAAAATTACTTTCGGTGATGCCTTTAGTCTCGTCAATCGTCACTTCCTTCTCTTCCTTAATAGTTATCTGAATCTAGCGTTTTTGCAGGAGAAGAGGGAGAAGGATCCATATCTTTAGTGTATAGCTAGGAATCAGCTTCCTCTAGGCTATCTTCAATAATTTTCTCAAAATTTGTTTTTTTCATAGACTCTTCCTTCTACGAGCTTTGCAAGAGTTGGTAATTTATAAATATTTTTAATAATATATTTCCATCGTAATATTTACAGTGATACCATCTTTGCAAATTTGAGCATTTGACACTTTATATTTGATTTTTAATTTATTCAAATAAGCAGTGTAAAGTTTTTTATCATTTTTTTCAAAATATTGTGGCAGCACTAATTCTTCTTTGCAGTTTAAATCAGCACCTAAGTCCATTAGAGCTATTTCTGTTTTTTCATTAATTTCTTCTTTTATAGAGGTGTAACTTTCTTCTAGATTTTTTAATCTTTCTTTTAAAGTTCTAATTTCTTCCTGAGTTTCATTTCTCTCTCTTTTGAAATCAGTTATTGTTATATCTTCTCTTAAGGGTTTCCTAGTTTTGGCTTCTTTTGTTATTTTATTTAAATCATAAACAGGAGGTGTTAGGTCAATCTTTCTTTTACTTGTTTGTTTTGATTCTCAAAGTGTTCTTTTATAGAATTGTAACTTTCTTCTAAAATTTTTAATCTTTCTTTTTAAGTTCTAATTTCTTCTTGAGTTTCATTTCTCTCTCTTTTGAAATCAGTTATTGTTATATCTTCTCTTAAGGGTTTCCTAGTTCTGGCTTATTTTATTATTTTATTTAAATCATAAACAGGAGGTGTTAGGTCAATCTTTCTTTTACTTGTTTATTTTGATTCTCAAAGTGTTTTTTTAATGGTTTATGTTTAAATTCTTTATTGGTGGAGTTAGAGAGGTTTCTTGTTCTGTAGTTAAAACATTTATTGAGCAAGAACAATCTTGTTTATCAATTTCAGATTTAGTGGAAGAGGAGTAAACTACTACTTCTATTTCTAAGGATTTTTTTAAATTTTTAGTGTGTTTTTTCTTAGAAAAACATCTATTAGCATAATGATCTTTCTTTCCGCATTTATGGCATGTAGGAATTTTGTTTTGTTTTCTCATGTTATCGTTATTTTTATTTTTTCTTCTTATAACTATTTTTCTTATATTGCTAATTATTGTTATAGGATTTTCCACTTTCAAAGTACTTAACCTGGTTTATTTGTAGGATGATATAGGTTTATTCCAAATTGATAACAAAAGTTTTCTAATTATTTTGATCAGATTTACAATGGTTAAGAATCATTTGTCTTTGAGTTTGGTTTAAATAATTATAGCACCAACCTCTTAGCTGGCCAAACAATCCTGCTACTATTAAGTTAGCAATGGTCTGATCTGAATTTTTCTAAGTAAACAAGCAGTAGCATACATAGTCATATGATGTTTGGTCATGCCATCTATATTCCATTCATTGATAGAGTCACTAGAGAAAGTTTGGGTTACTATTTTTGGGGTTTCTTCAAATTGTATATCTACTGGTGAGGGACGACCATAATAGTTTTTTGTCTTAACATTTCTAGTAACATTCCTATTATTAAGAGTATTTTTTATTCAGTAAAATATTATGGTTTTATCACATCAGAGTCTGTCTGAATTTTCAGTGGATTCATCAGGAGAGTGTTCTTCAGAATATTCTGAACAAGTGTCTGGCTCAAATAAAACGTTTACTTGATTTTTGAGAGTTAATTTAGATAATCTTTAAAAGTTCTTTTATTAAATTTGACTTTTCTTGAAGATTAGTAATTAGAGTAACCAAGGGTTTTTCACCAAAGGGCAGAGGTTGTTTAATTGATTTAGGAATATTTTTCGGAGCAGTTTGTTGAAACAAATCTTTTCCTTCATTTGTAAAAATAATTTGTTTTATAGGTTGGATTGCATCTTTCATAGTTTCTAGAAAAGTTTCTATTCTTTCAGATTGAGAGCCTATAGTATGTGCATAAAGATTGGTATAATTTTGCTGCTCTATTATATCTCTAACAGGTAGTGGTCCAGAAGTATCCCTGAAGGGAATGGCTAGAGTGTTATTGGAATTGGAAAATAGTTATACTTTTATTATGAGGATGTAGCAAAAATATTTCTTCGTGTTTACTGATAATCCATTGTGTGGAGTGCAAAACCAAAGCAATGATAGATTCTTTAGAGTATTTAGTTAATTTTATCCAGTATCTATACCATTCAAAGAATGGAATATGAGTTTTGTTCGTCTTCCAGAAATTCATAGAATAACTTTTGAATTTCATCTCTTTTAGTTTTATTTAAATGTTTTTTTAAAAAACAATTATCTTTTTTCTGAGTTTTCTTTTGAGAAAAATTCAGAAATATAATATAAATATATTAGTAGCATATATTATATATATTATATTTATATCATATAATATTGTACTATATTAATTTATATATTAAATATATATTTATAATAATATAAATATATTAATGATATGCTATTAATATATTTATAATTACATAATATTATACTATACATTAATTTATACAATACATTGTTAGGAGAATTGAGATGATCACCCTATTAAAAGGATCAAAATGGGAATTCTATTGCATCTGAAAAGCAAATTGAAGCACATATGATTGTTTTTATTAAGGATCTTTTTGCACACGAGAGTGATATTGACCTACAATCGGTTGACCTTTTTCCACCTACTTTACGTCTTAATCCAAATCAGTAGAGGCAGCTCATTGAGGACGTTTCCTTATAGGAGATTATGGCTTGTATACGGACATGAACAATGAAAATACTCAGGATTTCACTGTAGAGTTTTACAAATTCAGTTGGGAGGTAATCAAGGAAGACTTTTTTGCAGCTTGAAGGGTTTCTTTAAGGACGATGAATTTTTTAGGCAAATTAACTCCACTTTCATTTGTCTCATTTCTAAGGTTAAGTTTAATTCTCAGATAGTTATGAAAGACTTTGGACCAATTGGTTTATGTAGTGTTTTGCACAAGATTATAAGCAAAATCATCTTTAATCGCCAGAGGGATGTCTTGATTTCTTTTATTGCCCTTAGACAGGCAACATTTATGAAGGGGAGACTTATTATAGATAATATTATGATGGCAAATAAGCTTATTTCTCTATTTCATAAGAACTCCAAGTAGGAATTCCAAGAAACCTAAGATGTGCTTACAACTTGACTTAAGAACCCTGTATCATGAGAATTTATACTTGCTAGGTTGCTTACCTTGGGCTTTCCAAAGCTTTTCATCTTCCTAGATTCGTATATGTATCACCACACCATAATTTTTAATGCTTCACATTGGCTCTCCAAATGGATACTTCATAGCTAGAAGGGGTCTAAGGCAAGGGAATCCACTATCACCCTATTTTCTACTAGTCATGGACTTCCTTAGTAGACAGTTGGATTGTGCAGTGTCACAAGATATGCTACCTTTGGCTTTTCCTTCTGGTTGTGATTTTGGGGTTTCTCACATTTTTTATGTTAATGATGTTATTATCTTTTGTGAAGCCTCTTGTATTGTTGTACTACTATGAAATCTATCCTTTTGAAGTTTGGAAATACTACGGGCAGAAACTGAATATTGCTCAAAGCAAAGCGTTATTCTTTGGTGTGGAGCAGAGTACAAGATGATATGATTTTGAAGGAACTTAGTTTTAGTCAAAGATCCATGCCGTTAAGATATTTGAGGCTACCTCTATTCCATAGTAATTTAAAGCACAAGCATTGTCATAGTCTAGTTGGAAATGTTATTGGTAAGATAAGGGTGTGGCAAACATTATCCTTAACTTATGCATGTTATTTATAGTTGTTGAAATTTGTACTTAATTCATCAGCTATATTTTGGATTTTATCATTATCTTACCCAAACGTACAAGTAATAGGTGGAGAGATTGCAATACAACTTTTTATGGATAGACAAAGTTGGGAATAAAGGAATTCATCTTGTGAACGGAAGGAAAACTATATGCCTCACACTGAAAGATGGACGCTTTGGGATTCGTGATATTTCAGACTTCAACATTGCAGGCATGATGAAGTTGGCATGGAGAGTCATGATTAATCCATCCTCTTTAATAGCATGTTTTTTAGGCACAGGCATTTCAAAAACTCATCTATAATGGGGAGCTTTACGAAAGAGTTCTTCGTGTGCGTAGAAGGGTATACAAATGCGCATATCTTTCTTGCAACACAATGTTTGATGAATTATTGGGGATAGCAGGTCAGTGGATTTTTGGACGGATCCGTGGTTATCAGAAATATCGATTGGGGAGTCTTATGGTAATCATATCTATATGACTCTAAGGCCTCTGGCTAAAGCAAAGGTCGTAGACTATATACAGGGTTCCCCATAGACGTTGCATCTTTTCTCTCCTACATCTAGCCCTCTATTAAAAGCATGGAACTAGGTGGAGCAGGCATGGGAGGAGGAGGTCGCATTCATAATTCCTTTAAAACCATAGTGATTTTTTGGTATGGACTCACTCTCCTAACGGGCTATTCTTGGTCAAGGACATGTAACATTTTATTTGGCGCAAGGGTTCTCCCCAACCCATCTTCAAAATGCTGTGGTCTTCAAGGTGCCCTCCTAAGGCGAAATGGTTCTCTTAGTTGACCCTCTATTACCGACTCCCTACCTCCACTCTATTGTAGTGGAGAGGGATCAACGTGGCTTATGTATGCATGCCCTTTTTGCTATTATAACAATGACAATATATGTCATCTATTGCTTTATTTGTTCTATTACAGGGGATATGAAGATAGATCGTATGGAGATGTGGTAAAATATTTATTTTTTATTCATTCATTGTATTTACATTGAGGAAATGGGTAGCCTTCAGATTCAAGTCAGATGGAGTTTTTAATATTTGGCATTCCTTTTTCTTCACGGTACTTTGGATGCTAGGAGGAGCGAAATCGTTGTATTTTTCAAGGAAATGTATCCAAGCGTGAACAGTTGATTAGGAGGATCATTGGTCATGTTTGAGAACTGGTCGATTCTAAAGCTTGGTCCTACCACATATCAAATAAGGTAATAACAAAATATCTACAAGTAACATAGCGAGCACAAGGAATCGAGTCCTCCATATCGATTGCATGGTGATTTACTCACCCTTAACACTTCAAGCTAAATATTGATGGGTCCTCCTTTCAAAATCCTGGAATATCCAGTTGTGGGGATGTCATGAGAAGGGGTGATGGTTTTCTCTTCTCTGCATTTCTTTAGAAGTGGGTGTTGACTTAGCTATCTAGATAGATTATTTTTCATTTCAGATTGAAAGTGATTCTTCCCTACTAGTGCAAGTCATAGGTTGTTGTTGCAGATCTTCATGGGGGCTTCACGCCATAGTTGCTAATTGCCAATTTAGACTCGTAAATGATTCATGGTCTATTTATCACGTTTATCGTGAGGCTAATATGGTGGCGGATGTACTCGCTAAAAAGGCTACAATTTTTTCAGAGGCTACCATTTGGTGCTTTAGGCCTTTAGATTTTATTTCACGTTCTTTACTTCATGATGTTTCACAATTGCCCTATTGTAGGGTTGTAAAATAGTGACCTATAATTTATTTTTCTTTAATCAATGAAAAGCGGGCAGGGGCCTTCTCCCCCCACTGATTTACCAAAAAAAAAAACTTAGACTACAAGGAAATGACAACTATTTTCCCTTATTAGATGCCAAATTGGATGGTTTGGGTTGAGTAATGAAGTACGAAAAAAATTTTTGGAACTTTGTGGCTATTCAATGACACTCTTACAACCACCAAGTTTGAAAATTTAGGTAACAAGAGTGATTATACCCTTTTTGTACAAAAAAATAAATGGTCTTTTTTGTATACTTCTCCATTTATTCTTTTTGTAAATTTGTATATCTACCATCGTGAATAAACAAGAAAGTTCGCGTAAATTTATTTGTACTTATATAAATTTATTTAGCACAATTTACATAACAACTTTTGTAAAATCTATTCACCTTCGTGTTTAAGACATCAAAATTTTTTTTGTAAAATCTATTCACCTTCGCGTTTAAGACATCAAAAAATTTATTCACCTTCGTATTTTAGACAATGTGAACTTTTTAACAAATTCATTCACCTACCTTAGTTATTGTTGTACAAATTTATTGACCCTTGTTTTTAAGACAACGTAAATTTTTGGTTAAAAAAGTCTTTTTTTCTTGTGTGAATTTGAGGGTTTTTTTTTTTTTTCTTCATTATTTTATAATTATTTGGAGTTTTGTGTCATTTTGCAGAAAAAATCTTTTTTTAAAAAAATAATTTTAATTTTAATTTTGTAGCATCGAAATTGGATTTTTTTTTTAGTTTTTTAATGTTATAGTATGAATGATAAAAGTTATATTCTATAAGTATAAATTACTAATACAAAGCTTGTAATTTATTTATATCCTAAATTACATAATGTATTAACTTTTAATAATGTGAATTATGAATTTTTTCATAATAGAAGTTATATAAAACAAAGTTTAAATTTATTCATCTTTGTATAGTAAAATAATTCTAAACTAATAAATTAAAAAAAAAAAAAAAAAGGGTAAATCAGTGATGGAGAAGGCCTTTTACCCGTTTTTATTAATAATAAAAAAAACTAAATATGGTTCATGATTTTGCAATCCTACAATAAGGCAATTGTGCAATATCATGCAGTAAAGAAAGATAGATAAAATCTTGTCGTCTAAAGCACCAAATTGTGGGTTCAGATAAAGTCATTGCCTTTTTAGCATGAAATATTTTCCACCGTGTTGGCCTCTTGATAAATATGTGCAATGGTTCCATACACAATTTGAAAGACTGTTGGCAATTTGCTTCCACGTTAAGAAGCGCCCATAGAGTTCTACATCAGCCACATATGACATTGACAAGCAACAAAGCGTCACTCTCGATTTGTAAGGGGAAACAATCCAATTAGATCGTTAGATCAATACTCAATTGTAAGGCATGAAATTACGCATAATTATTCGATGCAATACTAAAGGGTTTGGCAAAAGCAGCAATAAAAATCCTCATCACCTCCTATGACACCAAATATTTAGAAGACCATCTTATTTGAATTTGAAGGTGATCCAATTATTAAGCATGATCGCAATGGATGTGCCTGGAATGAATCTTTTACCATACTTCTATACAACCGATTTCCAAATACCTTGTGAGAAAACACAATGAATCAATAGATGGCATATGTTATCATCATTATTACTACAGAAGGGGCATTAGGATGCAGGGCAATCCCTTTTTGTTGAAAGAGAGAGGAAGTGGGAAGTTGGTGATGGAAGGCTAGCTAAGGAAATCACTTGACTTTAGGATCGCACTTTGAGGACCATAATGCTTTGAAAATAGGTTGAGAGAAAACCTTTCGCCAAAACAAAATCTCACACTTCCTTGACAGATAATAGCCCATTTGGAGAATGGGTCCATATTAAAAAAACGCTTTGTGGCTGCAACAGAACTGCAAAGCCTCCACCTCTTTCCATATTCCAATTAAGTACTCGGATGTAAGAGAGGGAAGGTTCCAAATCTGGGGAGAACCTTCAAGATATTCTGATACCTTAAGTTTGACAAATATCCTAAGGTCATTGTGAATATTAACACCATAATTCTCCCAAATAGACTTCTCTTATAACCATGGATTTGTTTAAAAATCCATTGGCTGTCCATTTCTTACAATCCATCTATCATTATTTTGCAAATGAGATAACCCATCTGAATAAGAACAACTCTTCTTCTTAGATCCCCATATCGATGAATCTTTGAAGTATCTGTGTTTAAAGAAATGTGCTAATAAGATGGCAGATTTGCCAAAACTCCTCATGCCAACTTCATCATACCTACAATGTTGAAATCATAAATATCACGAATCCCAAGGCCCCCATCTTTAAAAGTGAGGTAGGTAATTTTCCACTCACGAACTTTCTTCTCAAATGTGCCTGCTCATAGAATATTGTGTTGCAACTTTTGCATGTACTCTTGGGTAAGATGAAGAATAAAATCCAGAAACTAGCTGATGAGTTGAGTATCGATTTCAGCAACTACAATGTACCTGCATAAGATAAGGATAGAGCTTGCCATATCCTTATCTTGTCAATAACCTTATCAAATAAACATGACAATTATTATGCTTTAAATTGTCATGAAATAGTGGTAGGCCCAGATATCTTATCGGCAAGGATCCTTCACGAAAACCAAGTGCACGTGCCTCAAAATCAAGTGCCTTGTATCTTGCGCCACAAAACAAAAAACAAAAAAAGGCTTTGCTTTGGGCAATACTAAGTTTTTGACTTGTAGTCTTTTCAAAATTCAAAAGAATAGATTTCATTGCACAAGTAGCAATAATGAGGCTTCACATAATATAACTCTATGATCAATATAAAAAAGATGGGAAATTCCATAATCACAACCTAAAGAGAAAATCATAGGTAACATACCTTGCAACACCTCATGATCCAACTATCAATTGAAAAAAGCCGTGATTAGCAAATAAATAAGAAGGCAAATAATCCCCTTGCCTTAGGACCTTTTTGCCTCTGAAATATCATTTTGGATATCCATTATGGAGAACTGAGAAAGGAATGGTAATGCAGAGTCGAATCCAGGAAATATACAACTCCAGGAATCCTAGAGCAGTCATTCTTGCAAGTATGAAATCCCAAGGCACCTAATCATTTATACTTGTTTACCGTGAAAAATCAGAGCGATTTGCAGATGTAGATCACTCTGATCTGACACTTTAAACTGATAAAAAATGAAGGAAATAAAATGGTAAAGAGCATGGGAACAATCAAATTCAGATCAGAGAGCAGATATGCCCAGAAAGAGCAGATCTGCTCTCAGATCTATGGTGGAGCCAGCATGATCCAAACCATTTCAAAATACGATTTTTCAATAAAAAAAAATCAAAATCAGATAAAAACAAATAAATAAAATAAAATAAAGAAGAAATGAAAGGAAAATGAGTACCTAACCGGGTCGAATGGCCCGAGAGTCTTGAGCCTTCTGAGGTTCACCCGTATCAGAACCGGTTCCTCCTGCCCTTATGGGCCAGATGTCAATCAGCAAGTCTCTGGTAGATCTAGGGTGGTTGTGCCTTAGGTCTAGGTTTTTTTTTGCTTTGGGGTTAGAGTCTCAAGAAGCTAGGGCTTTCTCTCTAGTCTCAAGCCTTCCCCTCAAATGACCACATAAAGAGGCCTTATAGGGGTCAAAACTTGTTGGGAAAGATAAGCACGCGTAACAAGCAAATCCCTGGTCAAAATTCAAAATTTTGAGAGTCACGAATTTGGGCGGCACCCTCTGTGTCGCCCAAGGCTGGGCAGCACAAGTTGTGTTGCTTGGGAGGCACGCTTCGTGTTGCACACACCAATTTTTGTCAAAATTGAGATTTTTCACTTCTGGTGTGTTCCTCCGCCTCTCGTGAAGCTCTCAGAGAAAATTTGGGTCAAAACAGATTTTTTTAGTATTTTTAATGATTTTTTAGTAAAATAGGGCATTTATAGAAATCTGGGTCAAAACAGGGTTCCTACGGGGTTCTATGCAGGCAAACTGGTTCTGGGTCACAAAGTAGGTAGTGTGAACTATGGATTAGTGTTTACTAGGTTAAGTGTCGTCTTAAGGGTTCATGAAACCATAGAATTTTTCAAATTTAAAATTGGGTATCTACAGTTGTCCCTTTTTGGCACTCCCTGTCCTTCGAGGGATAGGTGAGTGGTAAAGAAGTAAACACTCTGGCATTCCCTGTTCTTCAAGGGGCAGGTGAATGTCAAAGATAAAGCAGACATGTTAAATTTTATCCTGAAGTCACGTGGTCAGGGGGCACAC